AGCAGTTGAGACATGTTCTGAACCGAAAAGAAATTCACGATGTCGACGAAATGTCAGCTGACTTGGAATCATTTTCCTATAAAGCAATGCAGGTAGTAAGACGAGAAGAGCAGCTGGAAAAAGAAAACGATCAATTTCTCAGTGAAGCCGTGACGTAAGTCAATAGAGAATTTGGCTCGAAATCGGAAACGATTACAGATCTCTCAAAGCAAAACTGAGGCCAAAAATTGAAGAGCTGGTCAGAATAAATCATCTTAGCTGCTTGAAAAAAGGTGATGTTTTTCGAAAACCAATGGGGGGGGGGGGGTGTGAATAAAAGAGGAAAATGGGAACGTACATCGGTTTCTTTAAGTTTTTCTTTGGAAAACATGTTGATAGAATTGTTAAAGTGCGGGGGTACTATACGGAAGATGCAATAATAAAATATGGAAATGTGATCGTTCCGATCATATCATACTAATAAACGGTATTTTTGAAACTTTAATCCGATCACGACTCCTACAGGACCAGTTCCTTTCACCTTAGTTCGGATATATGGGTGTGAGCAACTAAAAGAAGAGGAACATCGGAATAGAGAATAACAAAACAACAAAACTTACCAGAAGATGAGGAGCAACTTTTTTGTTTAAAAATAGTGAATAAAAAGTAGGGGGAAAATGAGAAGCCGCTTCAGCGACAGTTACACATATTGATCATCACAGACACAGAAATGATGACGGGGAAAGAATTTGGAGGCGGAAAAAGAGGGATGAAGTGGATAATTTGAAAGAATGACTAGGTGAAATGACAAATGGAATATGCTATTTTTGCGTTGAGACTGCAGGGTTATTGTGCTTCCTTCGGCGTCTTCTGAAGCAGCAGCATTTCACTTCGCCACTCAAATTGTCGCCGGCAGCAGTTCTTCCTTCCGTGTTTCTGCTTTCTTCCACAGCTTCACCAGCATTTGAATTGATAACCTGAAACAACTCGGAAATTGAAAAGTGCTAGATTATATTTTTAATGTTATAGGGAAATCCAATTGCCTTACCTGTGTAGATCCGAATTGGGCATGAGCTGCAGCTTGACTGACTTTCAGTTCTCCGCGATCTAGAAAGTATTATTAATACAACCATATTTGTAAAGTTATTATTCACCAGTTCTCTTCACATCCTTAGACTCTGAAGTATGGAGCGATCCTGATGGGGTTGACTGGAAAAATACAACTTGAGAGGCTGTAGAATAAATAACATTATCTTACCACGTTGTTAAGCTTTGGGGTCCAGTCAAATTCATAGTCATAAGATGCACCCAACCGATCGAGGACAGATTTGAAGAGGTTATAACAGTAATCGTAATCCGGAGTTTCGAAGAAGTCAAGGCGACGAGCATAACGAAGGTATTGAGAGAACTCATCCGGGAATCCTTCACAGAGAACTTCAACAGCAGTCTGTCTCTTTGTGTCTCCAATCTTTTGATATCTTTCCTTCAATGTATCTGCCTTCAGTCCTTGCCATGGGAGGCTTCCTCTCAAGAAGTACATAAACATATGTCCGAGAGCTTCGAGATCGTCTCGTCGCGATTGTTCTTTTCCGAGATGTGTGTTGATGGACATGTACCGTGCTGTACCCGTGAGAGATTTGTGCTCTCTGTATGCGATGTGCTTTCCTGAAAATTAGTTCATTGCAGATTTCTCGAGTAAATTTTATAGGGTGTACTACGAATCAAAACTTACCAGTGTCGCAATCAATGTATTCCTTAGCAAGTCCGAAATCAATGATGTGAAGAACATGCTGTTTGCGTGTGGAATAACGTCCGATTAAGAAGTTTTCTGGCTTGACATCGCGGTAGATAAGGTGTTTTGTGTGGACATACTCGATTCTGCGGATCTGAAAATTTAAATTATAAAATAAAGGTGTTGTTAATAAACGGTTTCTGTTAAAATATACCGTAAACACTCTAATAGAACGCCACCCGAATAGTCAAACTTGAGCCCATGTATCTCATTTTCTGCGATATCAAAAAGCGGTTAACTAATAAAATGTTGCTGACATCATGATAAACATTTTATTAGTTGACAACTTTTTGATATCTTCCAAAAGAAGTGTGTTATATAGGCTCAAAGTGGACGGTCCGGTGGTGCTCTATTAGAGTGTTTACGGTAAGTGATTTAACACTGTTATTACTCACAAGCTGCATAGCCACCATGGCTACTGTTTTCAGGGAGAAGTGACGATCACACAAATCAAACAGGTCTTCGAGTGAGTGTCCTAACAATTCCATCACAAGCGCATTGTATTTACCACACGGTCCGAAGTAGTGCACTTGAGGCAAACCCTCTGCAACCGGGGATTCTGTTGGCGTTAAAACATCCGTAAGTTGATTTCTCTTACCTGCTTGTCCGAGCAATTTGTAAAATCGATACTCAAGATGTAACTGAGGCGCTTTACTTTTCATAGGTTCCAGTTTGATAGCTACATGTTCATTATTGTATAGGTTTTTTCCGAGTCGAAGTTCGCCGAAGTTTCCACATCCAATCTTTTTGCCGACCTAAAAATTTCGTTAAGTTATTAATGCGATATGATATAAAACAATCACAAAATAATTTATGTCCATGCCTGAATAATTTTAAAAAATTGGTTTTTCTAGTATTACCGAAACAGTAGCGCCCAACTCAGCTGTTTTCTAAAGTAGAATTCGTCACCAAAAGAATATTATAAAGTTTATCGAAATTCTGCGTTAGATTCTACATTAATATCTTCAAGAATACGGTTTCAATGATACTGTACTTTAAAATTTTTGTTAAAAAAACTAGCTCACCTTGAAATTGGGTCCAACCATGAGCACACCCTGCGAGTTGGTGGTACTCGCCGAGGTGGCTGAGTTGCTCCCGCGTGTGTTCGTCATCGCGGAAGGTGCCCAGTGTGAGAGGCCAGATAGGATCGCCTGACGAGGCCGCGTCGACGTCGACACCCGTCTGAAATTGTGACATTAAAAATAATTAGCTTTGAAGATCAACAAGCGGAACGGGACGAAGCGAACTGATTATTTAGTCAACACAAGTCAAGAAAAACCAACCAGAAAACAGGACGAAAATTATAAAACGCAATACCATATGTTTATGCAAACCAATACCCGCGATTTTGTAGAACGAAAACAGCAGGTTCAATTGTATCTCACCAAATCACAACTTAGGACCAAAGAATCTATCATGTACGCAAAAACTAGGGTAGCGATAACTCCACAAAATTTTCTTGTACTGTTTTTTTCAGTTTTGTATCACCCATTCATGTTTTTGATTTGTTGTAGGTGAAAATGTAGGTGGACACAATACATCCACCGAATCGAGAAGGAAGAAGAAAAGAAAGGACGAGGCGGACGGTGACATCGACTATTCTTATCAGAACGAAAAGAAACGAAAAAAGAAAGGCGTGCTCCATCTATCTTTCGCTCTCTCAGTCATCATGTGTCTTACTAGACCGATATAATAGATACTACTCATATGCATTGTGGATAATCCAAAATTCATAACTCAGAGAGAAAACAAATCGAACATACTCGCAAAATAACTTTCTGTTTGACTCAGTTTTGAAAAAAAAATACTCGATCAAGGGAAAAAGGCGTAAATAATTCACCAAAATTCTACATCTGCTGATTTATTATTTTTTTTTTCATAATAGCCGCAGAGAGTTTTGAACAATAAAATTTGAATTTAAATATTGATCGGTGGACACCGGTTGAACAGTATAAAACATACATCGAAATAAAAAAAAACTGTGTGATAAGGAAAAACGAACACACTCCCACACACACACACACACACATACCTAGATTCGACGGAAGGGTGTTGAAGGGAAAAGCGGCCGAAAAGAGGAGAACGAGAGGAGATAGAATAGGGATTGTGGAGTAAGAGAGGTAGAGGGTGGTGGCACAGCGACCAAATTGAAAATCGATAAAATTGAGTCGGGGCAGTGGGTATGTGTTGAAGAGGCGAGCGCATTGGATGTGCCTGCGTCTCCTTCACATAATCCGCATCTTTTTTCGCGACGATGAAATGAAGGAGATGATGAAGATGAAGCCACTTTCTTGAAGACGACGACAAAACACCAAATTAATCGAGAAAGAGGAATAGGCATTACATTCAAGGCCAGGGGCGAAAAATGAGTCACTCGGCAGATAGCAACAGGAACCGTGCAGCAGAGATAGTAGGAGCAGTAGCCGAGCGGACGAAAAAAAAAAACAACAGAAACCGAGAGAATTCAGTACACTATCAGTACAGTAGGAATGCCAATTCGGTAACAAGAAGCGAGCACTAGGAGATTAAGCACGCAAAAAGACAGCATTCAGAACTAATTTCGCGCTTCCAGAATATTTGAAACCTGTCTGACGATGATTCGCGGCTTTTGTTATTATCCATTCTAAGGAGAATCATTCTGAATCAGCGATAGCTCCCGTGGATAGAACTTTTTCAACGGACCATCGGTGGTAGTGCAGTCACCTGTTTTTCAGAAAGAGATACCGTACGAAAATGAAGTTTATCAGACACAAAGGACATAGTTAAAAGAAAATATGACAAGCAGGAGGGGAAGAAAGTTAAAAAGTACGATGGACGGATATGAACAGATAGGAACAGAAAAATAAAGAGTGTAAAACATTTGATAAAAATCAATACTTGTGAGTTGAATACAAGCGTTGGTTTTCGTTTTTGCAAGACTTCAAACACGATGACTCAGGCATCAGCAAAAAGTGGAAATTTCAAAGTGTTTTGATATTACTGTGATATCGTATCAATACCCTTCTTTTGTAAAGAATATTACTCTTAAAACGGACTGGGTAACTTCAGAGGAACGTTCTCCGCATAGGAAGCGTTTTTGCACGATTTTTTCGCTTTTGTGAATTCAAAAAAAAAGTTGTATGTACTATTGAACTACTTTATGAAAAAAATAACTACAGCAGCAAACATGATAAAGAACTGGGAAAGTATAGTTAGTCATTAGAACAACTTGAAGCTTAGTTACTCCTAGACCTGGAAGAGATCACCGCCAAATACACGCGGATGGCTGCGGAAAGACAAGAGAAGAAGTGCGGAAGGAAACCACTCGAAACAGAAACGCGGAGCGTAGACTCTTCAGTTGATTACGACGCACAAGGCATATCCATCTAGTTCACACATTTTTTAAAAGTTAGCCAAGAGTAGGACAATAGACCAGAAGGAATTGAGAAACGATATATCACTATACGAAAAATATTGTTGCTGAAAGTTTCATGGAGTGTCCAAAATACAGATCGTTGCTCTAAGATTTTTGGCAACCGCTCAATCGTTTCCGGTTGAGCTGTTGACAAAAACACGTATTTCTATTCTAATTGCTCCCGGTGAGGAGAATTTTATGGAGTTTACCTAAGTATACAACAAAACAGAAGATTCCATGATTCAGAGAAAAAAATATAGTCTGTGAATAGCTTTTCCCCTACCTACAAAATTAAATTGGCAAGAAAAAATGTCTTATGTAATTTTCGACACAACAAGAGCCTGACTTTCCTGCATTTGTCTATTTGTCGTCATGTCATTGTCGAATAGGATTTTCGATCAATCTGGCTGACATATAAATTGAGGAAGTCATTGACGGGGATGAAATGGAAGTTAAAGAGAATATCAAAGAGCTAAATATAGAAAATGTATATTTATAAGCAGGTTGATAGGAAGTATCTCGACGTTTAGTTGAAAAAATAATTTAAGGAAATAATAACTCGCAAAGTTGTAAGTCAATGCTTCTAAATATCTTTTAGTAAATGCATAACATACATTTTTCATAGAAATATAATTTAGAAATAAGAATCTAACGCACACTATTGCCGGAGCTCTTTTGAAGGTTTCGCGACGAAAAAATTGTAAAATTGCATTTTTAGAGCGCGCAAGGAAGGTTTCCGACTCAATTTTACAAGTTATCAGAAAATTATGTTGCTTTATATAAAATAACTACGAAAAAAACGAGCATCGCTGTTGAAAAATATCCGGAAACGGAAGATGTCGGACGTCGAAAACGAACGCCAATTTAAAAAAAAAAGTGAACCGCAACGCGAGCCGCGCCGCTCTGCCAGCGTTTTCGGTTTCTCTCGTCTCGAACACAACGGCGGCGGCAGTAGCAGCACAGACACCACACACAGACAAATCGGACGCCTTTTCTCTGCGTTTCTCTGTTCCTCACACTATTCTTTGGGCTTTCGAGAGACGCAGACTCCTCCCCCGGCGCCGCATTTCAACAACTATTTTGTGTGAGAGAAACGAAAAATAAGAAAGTGTTGTTTACTGCTGGTATCTTCTGGGTCTCCCCTATCCCGCAATAAAACAAATAGAGCATTTAAAATCCCTCAATTATCGGTATTATTCACACTTCATGTTTTTGAACAAAATACCTATTTTGAAAATTACTGAAGATCATTAATAACTCTTCAATTGCATCGAGAAAAGAGAAGATCAAAAATAAACGTTGCTTCAAATCATCCAAATCGGGAAGTCTAAACTCCATAATAAAAACGCAATACAGTATTCGATTCCATCAGTAAATAAGGCATATCGTGTTTACACACTCTAATAGAGTGCCAACCGACTTTTCATTTTTAGCCCATTTCTCTCGGTTCATGTGAAAGATATCAGAAAGTAGTGAACTGGCTTAATGTTTTTGACATTCTGATAAACATTTTGCCAGTCGACCAGTTTTTAATATCTTTTACAGGGAATGAGATATGTGGTCCCGAAGTTGACGGTTTGGTTGGCACTCTATTAGGATGTTTACGGTAACTTGATAACTTATATTTCAGTTTTACCTTCAGTTCAGTATAAAGATTTTACCCTTAAATTACGATCACTGTTTTTTATATGAATTTTTCACCCTGTTAATTGAGAAATCTTTGCAAAAATAATTACGGTATAACTGTGACGTGATATTTTCATAGGACCCATATTTTGAAATGGCCTTTTTTAGGACAGAGATGAGGAATCAATTCCAGATAAATATATCATTTTTCAATGAGTCCTAAAAACGTGTGACGATAGAGTAGGAAAAATGATAAATTATTCAGGAAGACATTCGAATCTCTAGCTCCAAGGAAATATATCAAATTGATAAGAAAAAGAAGATAGAAGTGCCTAATCCAGCAGTCTTCAATAACCACTCGTGTTAACAAATATAAAATTAGAAGAAAGATTAGGATAGGCTGAATCCTCGATCAGAGAAATTCATCTTCTCTTATTCGTGGGGCTTATACTCTCTTCTTCTTCTCCTCAGAATACATATTTGATAGGAGGGGAAGTTTGATTTGCTGCCACTCTCCAGCCCTTCTTTTTTAGAGAATCGAATGGGGATGATGACAACAAAAGTTCATATGACATGAGCAGGCATTGGAAATAGGCATTTCTCAAAAGTATCCTAGATTTCTTAAGTTGCATGAAGCCCCAGGCAGATGCAGTTAGGTACTTCATAATGTGATATTTTGAACAAAGAATTTGTTGAGAGCATAGGAAAACATGTCTGAACCAATCAAGCCGATAACAGTCGTTAGGTTATTTCTAACGAATTCAAATTGACTAAACTGAAGATGAAGTCTAAACTAAGTGTGGAGTCATCGGATAAAAACAAGGAAGAAGTAGAAGATGCGCCCTGCGTGCCAGTGTGCACGACGCCGGAAATAAATGGAGAAGAGCAAGAGCATGAAAAAGAAGAAAAAGAAGAAGAGCATCCACCCACAGAAGCTATGGAAGGGGAGATATGTTTCGGGGTTGAAAATGCATCTAAAAATGAGGGAAAGGGCGTGAAATAGCGGAAAGACGAGCTTCTCGCTTTCACGCTTTCTGGGCGGTTCAAAGAGCGCTTGATGGGATGACTATCGGTCTCCGGGGACTAAAATGAAGAGTCTTCTGGATGAAAATCGAGAAGAAAAATAGAAACAGAAGACAGATTTTAGTTGGAGCAAGTGCTGCAGTTGGAGTACAGATGTGACAAAATAGAAACCGGAAGCCATGATTTGAGATCTACATATACCGTCAAATTCGAAATACAAAGATCACTATTTCTTATGTCTTGATTTTGTCATAATAATTTTTCGAATTCGGGTATTGACAATTACCGTAACCTCTGTAATAGAAATGTCCTCTAACTTTTTACTTTGAGCCAATTTATCTCGGCTCCTGTCAAAGATATGAAAAAGTGGTCCACTGATAAAAAGTTTATCATAATATCAAAAACATTTTATTCATTGAAAAATGTTTGATATCTTGCGCAGAAAGGCACTTCTGTTACAGGTTGTATACACTTGTCATCTGTAAAACAATATCAGTTCTTAAACGGTTCAATAACTACAGTATCCTAGTACATATATTGCAAAGAAATGCTGAAACTACGTTCTACTAGTAAATGGCTCCGTTCTTCTCTGTCAGCTGATCAGAAATAGAACTCAGGGATGGAGATAAATACGGGGTAGAACATCGTACACATCTTTTCTTTCTTTTTTTTTCTTAGTAAAGGGTTGTCTTTGTTCACACGAATAATTTATTGTTTTCTGGAGACAGTGGCCCACCTCGTTTTTCTTTTTTTTTTCCCCCTTTCTGTTTCTTCAGTTGGAAAGACCGGCAGGGAATCGAATAATTAATGATGGCAGGTAGCGGTGTTAGAGTAAAAGAAGAAAGATTGAGAAGAGATATGGAACCAGGAAGGCGTGGATCACGAAGCATTAATATTTAAATTATGACCTAAATATGACTTCCGAGAGATTCATTAGTCATCATATAAAAAAAAATGCACTTAAAAAAAAGATAGTCAAATTCGTTTACAAGGGGTCCCCGAATTTTTGGATCCCTACTCGCCATCTTATTAACTTTCATCGGCCTTTTTTGTAGTTTTAGTATATATTTTTTGAATTTTTCCGCAATAAAATTAGGTAAATATGTACATAACTTTTAAAACATTTTAATGCAATACAAAAAAAAAATACAAGTTTATTCATCGATAGATTTCGTTTTAGTAAGATTATCTTCTTCCGTTCGGATGGATCCACGACTGGAACTCTTTTCTTCATCTTTACTACTCTGCAAATAAACTCCAAGATGAAAACGAAGCAGAGCAACTTCAAACTATTACCTTTCCAGTTTTCTTGATGGTTTCCAATGAATCGTTTTCAGACTCATCCATACTATCCGAAAAACTCGAATCACGCTTTCTCGACGGTTCGTCAGACAACGTCTTCTTCTTTTTCTCCGAAACAGTTTTAGTAGAGTTGGATGACTGAAAGTTTTTAAAAAATCAGAAAGTCTTGAGAGAAAAAGTCCAAACTTTTTGCTCAATTTGAATTTCTTTTTGCTTTGAAGAGCGGTTGATGGCATCTAAAACTTTCCAAACGCTCTTCTTACTAACCAGCTTTTACTTACTTTGTTGTGAATTTCGATCTGTCTTGATTTTCTCATCGCTCAAAGTTTTAGTATGTGTATCAATGCTATCCAGTCCTTCATCTTCTCTAGTTGGTTGACATCCAACAACTTTTGGAACATCACTTGATTTCTTTGTACTTCTTGCAGAGTTTGTGATTCTCGGTTTTGATGATTTTTCTTTTTTACTAGGACTCTTCGAATACGGTTTTTTCACATTTCGAGCCTATAATTTATACTTTAAAAAAGACAATTTGAAAAGCGTAGAGTTACTGTAGTTCGATTTTTCCCGCATAGAGCCATCAAAATAGAGAGAGTGAGAACAGCGAAAAAATTGAAAACAAAATTATCTGAAGAGGAATTGTTTTATGGAAAAATCTTCTATTTAAAACAACCTACCGAACATTTTTGTATCTTCAAAATATTTGGACAAGATGAAGAAAAATGGTGAAATGATAATAATTGAATTATTGCTGTTTTAATGATAATGATTTTTTGTTTCTTTTTTGCTGATTTTCACGGAAGACCAACACTCTGGGTAGTGCTAAATGACAGCTGAACAGGAGAAAACTAGTGAATGACTGCTTGTTGGAATCCGGGAGAACCGACGGGCCGTTGACGGACCATCGGAACTACTTGGAAAACCGACTTAAACGTTCAGATTGAAAATCAGCAAGAATACAAATTAAATATCATACTTGCACTAGATTATAGAACAATGATAGAAGTTATTTTTCATCACGTCGAACCACCTCAAAAATAGGTTATTAGAAAATTGCTAAATGACAGTTAAAGAGGCTCTGGCGAGTCGATGACTGTGGACCGAGAGTTTGCATATGGAAAACTTGGTTAAAATTACTTTTTTAATTATTACATCAGAAAAGTCACAGAGGAGTCTGGGAATCTGAAAAAATGCATTATGCTGGATGACAGTCAACAACGTTCTTTCACCAAATGATGGGCACATGTGGAAGGGGACTGCTGAAAAGAGAACACTCGGCAGTCCAAATAATTTTTGTGGATTGTGTATTCTTTTCAAAATAACTACTCCGATATTTTTCAAATTTGAATTTTTAGGAAAAGAAGAAGAGAAACCAGTCAGTGCATCTTCGACTGTCAGTCATCCGTTTTTCACCAACCCAGCCTTAGATTCTAATTTTTGAATGAATGATTCTAATCACGCATTTTTTAGATTCCCAGACCCCTCTATGGCACATTACGACATTTTAAGAGATACATATTTTTTCAACCAAATTTTGCATTCTGCAGAGATTTTGCAATTTGTGGTCAGCTCATCAGTCATCAGTGACCAGTCAGTGCCTCTTTGACTTTCATGTAACAGTCGTTTAAGAATCTATTTTTTGAGATGGTCTGATGTGAGAAAATTAGCTTCTATGTATCTTTATTCTATAATCTGTTATGAGCATGAAATATTGTTTTCAGACTGATTTCTAATCAAAACGTTCAAGTCGGCTTTCCATGGAGTTCAGCTCATCCGTCAACAGCCCGTCGACGGTTTTCCCTCATTATCATTTGTTCAGCACTGTTCGAATAGTGCCCCTTTATTTGTGCTGTGCTATTTTCTTGGAACTTAAAACTATGTTTTGTTATAATCTTTCCGATGCAAGTCTATATATGATCTATAAAAAAATAAGAGAAAGTTTATTGATAAAAAATGTGGTTCCAAACACGAAACCCGTCAATTAGCACCTTGAGCGTACAACATGAGCAAACACGTATTTACATATAACACAGTTTACAATTTTTCACAGAATGGATGAACTGGATATGAGAAATTTTGAAAATCCATTTGAAGGCGAGGAGGTCTTTCTGATGTCAAATAACCAACAGACAGCGATGTATTCAAAGCACGGGCGGTCTCGATTCCACAAACGTTAACCAATTGTTGGAGAAGACATACCCGCATCTTAAAAATGGTTTTAAAGAGGACCAATGAAGATTTGATACTCACTTTTTTGAACGAAAGGCATTTGGATCCTTCTGCATAATTTATTAATTTCATAGTGTCCGTGAACACTTGCTCCCGATTTTCATTCATTGATTTGACAGTTTGGATCGCTGAATTGTAGACCGAATTGATTTTGTTGTTCACTTTCTCTCGAAGGATTGAATATTCGGAAATTTCCTGGAATCACAACTTTTGGGAAATGTATTCACTTCAAGCCTTAAATGTTTTAAATAGTACCCTAACAACTGAAATAGAAGGGCCTTCTGGTTTTTAACTTTGAGCCCGATTATCTCGATTTCTGTCAAAGATAAAAAAGCTGTCAACTGATAAATGGTTTATCATAATATCAAACACATTTTGTTAGTTGATCACTTTTTGATATCATTCACAAAAACTGAGATAAACTAGCTCATACGTCACAGCGTGGGGAACCTCATATCACAGATTTTACGGTAAGTCAATTTGAGGAAAAAAACAATTTCCAGAGTTACAAAGATTCTATAGTACTGCTTCAGATAAACAACGGAAGCGGAGAAACTAACTTTTTCACATGCACCAATCCATTTGTCAGTTCTTCCGAGACACGGATAAACGTCTGTCGCATAATCCTCATCAACACATTCATGCTCAAACATTTGTCTAAAAAGGGATTATTTCTCGACTATACTTTTCCACTAATCTTGCCTATTTCCTCCATCTTCCATTAATTCTGCTATCCTTTGGTTCGTTTTCTGTTCTCCTTCATACTGTAATCCACATTCGAGTTGTTGTTCATGTTTTGCGCATGCCTATGAAATTAATCATTGGATATTTTTTTCAAAAATAAGAAGTTCGCTCACAAAGTTGACAACTTTTTTTATATCAACAGCTGGAAGAGTAACAAAAGATGCAAAAAATGGATTGAGTCCGGTTTTTTCGAGAGCATCAGAATCTGATTTTCTATAACTTCTCTTCACAATATTCTTATCAATACTAGCAATCAGCTCGTCATCGATTGAGTTGCACTTTTGTAGTCCATCGAGATACAGAAGTTTTCTGAAACGATGTGAATAACAAAAAAAAAACATTTGAAATCTGGAAAAATGATTACTAGAAAACGTATATCATCATAAAGTCTTTAAATATACTTCCGGCTCACCGGATGCGAATCATTTAATATTTTTGGAATTCATCCTGAATATGAAAAATGTTATGCATCATTCTGTCAACTCCAACTTTATGTTATTATCAGAAATCGTGTAATCTAAATTCAAAAAAATAGTCAACAATACTAATTCTCTTCCATTTATTCTAAATTCAGATTCTGTAACTAAAATGGTTGTTATTTTTGTTCTCTATTCAGATGATGAATTATAGTTTTTGATTCTTCTGAACTTTATCGTCACAGAGACCAAAAACGTTCAGCTAAGAATAAGCGAAGAGAAAAGTTGGTCATTCGACATAAACTTTTGTTTCCTCTCTCTTTTATTCTCATAACCAGATTTTCCTCGCTTATCAACAATCAACCTCTTGTGGTCACCCCGTTCTGTCACAGGAAGTTATATTTTCTGGTGTAAATTCTTCACACTTTTTTCTTTTTTTTATTGTTTGACAAAGGGCATGATTTCGAGATGAGAGAGTGATAACGTCACGAGACTCCGTTACGAGATTACTATTTTTAGAAAGCAATTTATCAAATGAAAGTTCAAAAATAGACACACACACATACCGATCTCTTTCCGTTAATCCATCAGACTTTATTGCTTGTGAGTAGACGTACCGGGCTGAAAAATGGAATTCGATTTATTCTGGAAACAAAGAACGGATTATCGCATGTTCAATAAACCTAGAATGGGATTACGAGTTCATTAGTAACCTATTTATTGGGGGAAAATCTGACACTGATCCTCTTTGAAAACCCTTTCTTACTTGAAGTTTAATCTTTTTCAGCATTCTGAATGGCAAACAGAGATGAATGATATAATAATTTAGTGTTTTCCTTATCTCTTTTTTTTCAAGTATGGCTTGATTTGCATTTGGATACATCGAGTGTTTCCCTACTCTCTAATCTCTCCTTTTATCTCTGCTTCTCTATTCCATTCGTCACTCTTTCCATATTTCTGATAGAAGCGTTAGCCATCTCTTCGAGTCACTTTTTTTTTCCTTAAAACAAATTTTGGGGGTTTTTCTCTAGCTTCGATATTACGTTTTCTTAATTTGTCATCTTCTATAGAAACAATTAAAACTGAAAAAAATGACAAAAGTGTTACAGCCCATCACATTACTTATTAGATTCTGAGTCAAAACTTCTTTAAACAATAGATTCTTTGCAGGATAACCACTGATTTTAAGTGTATTTTCGACTTTGATAAATGTTTTCAAAAATACTACCGCGAAACCTTCAATAGAAGAGCCCCTAACTTCTGACTTTGAGCCATTCTTTCTGGGTTCCTTCCTTAAAGATAAAAAAGTTGTCAACTGATAAATGGTTCATCAGAATATCAGAAGTGTTTTGTTAGTTGACAAATTCTTGATATCTTGCATAGGAATTGAGATAATTGAGCTCGAACTTGACAGTGTGGGGGCCCCTCTATTACAAGGTTTTAAGTATATTTTCTTGAATCAACCGTAATCTCTCACAAGGGAAGGTTTTTTAGACAACGGTTGAGAATTCGCTCAAAATCTGCATACTTATAGTTTAAGACATGCTCTATACGATGCCAAAAAAATTTTTAGCCCGTTCTCACTCCCAGGCCGAAAAACTTTGTCTGAAAATTTGGGTGACTCATTAGGATTGACTATGCTGGTTCGACCCCCACTGTGGTAAAACTTTTTTTGCCTTTTTCGAAACTAATTTTTGATTCCAAGTTTGCCCCCCTAGGCACTATATGACATTTTTTGATTAATTTCAAAAGTTTTCAAAGAAAAAAAAAGATTTCATGAGAGTTTGAGGATAATATAGATAATGGTCTTTTCGGCCGGTTCTTACATCCTCGTATCGTTAAAAACGAAAATTTCAGTCTCTGAAAGTTGCTCAATTTTGCTGTTTTTGATGTAGAGTACTGTCAAATCGATCACATACAAGATTCTTACCTAGATTCTTACCTAATAGCTATTTCTATAGGTTTCAGTTAAGTTCAAGCGATATTTCAGAAATTAGGAACTGTCAAAGTTCTAACAACAATCAGATTTTATATATTTTTTTGAGCCCAAAGACAACATTGGGCTGAAAAAAATTGTCAGAATGCTATTTTTATCGTTTCTGAATAATTGGAACATTTTTTCGCACTTTTCAAAAAATCATTTTCAAAGTGTGGGAGACCCCATGGTGATTTTTTTCAAAATTTTTCAAAAAAAAAATTTTTTTTGAAAATGTTTAAAAGTTACTTTAGAAGATAGAAAAATGTCCAAAAATGAGTTTCGCACTCAAGCAAATCCTGAAAAACTAATTTTTAATCTCGAAAAATTCCTGTTTTTTTTTTTCAAAATTTAATACTAAAAGCACTTTCAGAGACCATATTTCGGCTCCTTTTGAGAACGGGCTGAAAATTTTTTTGGATTCGGATTCAGCATGTTCGAAAGTACCTTTGTACAAAATTTGAGCGAATTCTCAACCGTTGTCTGAAAAACCTTCCCTTGTCAGATGTTTAACTTTTCGAATATTCTTTCAACGATAAACTAAGCTACTATAAAATAAAGTTTCCAGAAACCACAAAACTCACCTTGAATTCCGATGATTCTGGCTCTTTCGATTTGCTGACCAGTGGCTTTTTGCCATGCAAGAAACGAAGAAGCTGATTGACAAAATCCAACAAAATAAAGGATGAAAAGAAGGCGAATCGACCAGTCAGCACCGCCACCAACACAGATCGAAGAGCGCATCATTATCCAAACGTCTTCTTCTTCTTCCTCTTCTCAACACACAACTGACACTCGTATATATCGACAAAGGAGGGCGGTTCAATGCCCGCCCCTTGTTGTAGCGCCCGCAAATGGAACACTCCAACTTGTACCTTCACGACATACTTCTGCACAGCCCACTATTCAAAACTCGACGAGCAGCTCTTCGAGCCGTGAAATGCGTCGTCCGTCTTCAAATGCAACATTCACTTCGGATGTTTTGAGAAAACCCGTTCAGATAACTGCAGACCCTCGAGTCTATAAAGGATCTGTTTTTGCGAATCGAAGATTGGCTCATGATAGAGTAAGTATGAAAAAGTTCCCGATTCAAAAAAGAAATCAGAGTGAAAACTCGTATTCCGCAAAGACCAAAATCATCGTTTTCTTTTCCGGCTCGACAAGCAGAACAAGTTGAATTAAAAGAGAAAAAATATCGAGTTGGAGTGATTCGAGAACAGCTGAATACGATTCTGCCACGTGTTCCTGTACCTAGAAAATCGAACCCGCCATCCTCGCTTCTCCCAGCTTTATCCTCAAAAACGTAAGTCAATCGAAAATTGTGTTACATGCAAATTCATTGGCTCTCGTCACGCAATGCCTACTTCCGGACAACAGCCACTTTATATTTGTGAATTGATGTCTAGCAGAAAAAGAAGTGATGGGCTGTTTTGATTGCTTAAAATACGTTTGAGATATATTTTGTATATCTCATTGAAAGAAAAATTCCCATCCTAATCTGCTTAACAAATAAATCGAAAAAAAAACAAGATTGGTGGAAAATTTGCATTCGATTTTTTAAAACAATAACAAAAAGTTTACTCGGTCGAAATTCAAATTTGAAAGTGTGTCAACTTTTGAAAAATTACAAAAATATACAGATTAGCGGTAAACTGTGTCAATCTGTTTATGGAAATTTGAATCAAAAAGCAACATGTTTTTGTTGTGGCCTGTTTTTTTTTCCAGGATTGCCGATCAAAAGTTCGAAAACAAAAAATCATTTTTCCAGAATCGAAAACGGGCCCAAAACGGGTCCTGGCAGGCCCTGACTTAGTTCCTTTCAGGATTACAATTCTTAGACCGACTAAATTAGATATTATAGAACTTGTAAGAACTTTTCAGACGGTTCACATCAACATATCTACCTGAAATATCTTCAAGAAATGGTTCAGCTCTTTGTGTTTCAATTGACAAAACCCGTGGATCAAAATCGTTTGCTGCTGCCAAATTTATGCCTGTTCCCAGTACAAAACCTGGTAATACTAGTATGGTATCGAACCATACTTTTAATATAAAAAATCGGTTCCAGGAACAACCCAACAACTCGCCAAAGACTCTAGTCAGTTCCCAGTCAAAGTTGTTGTCAACTTTGAACAAGCTCCAGCACCTGATCTTTATGGAAAAACTTCGATTCGAAGACATAGTAAATACGGGGTCCAATCACAAACTGCAACTCCTCCATCGTCTTCAAGGCCAGTGTATCCAATTGTGGACAGTGGAGTTCAAACGGATGATGTAACGTTCTGAACCGTATTCCATTTTATAGAACTAAAACTTTCAGAGTTTCGATCAACAATTTGAAGATTTGGTTAAGGAGTTAGCCAACTCTGCAATTGAGATGGCGACTATTAATCTAGAGGTTAGAATTGATTCTCTTTCAGTGGAAAAACGGAAATTTTAGGCCGAGAACACTATAAACTCAATGCGGAAGACTGCGGAAGCGACGGAGCATGAGCTTCGGGCGGTCGCGCGGAAACAGAATATAGAGTCGGCTGAATGGAAGAGAAAAATGGATGAAAAGGTAATATAGCTCAAGTTTTGAATAATGCAACTTTACAAAGCATCAAAACAGAAACACATTGGAAAACGGAATGCACAGAAACATTTGTTGAAGATTTGAATAAATTCAGAAGTTGCTGAAATATGCAATCTAACAAAAATAGTTTAGAGGGTGGCGTATAAGTACTCGGACTAAAAAAGGATATATCTTTAGACATTATTGAGTTGGAAGCACGAAAATTGATAGAAGTGTGATTATCCGTTTGGTTCAAAGCTACTAAAAATTTGAAAGCGATTCCCCAAGTCTAGGTATTGTTATGATTGTACAAAGGTTAACTATGTAATGTTTCTTGCACGCCGTCGTGATTTTCATGATGCCACTTGGACAAGCGATAATTCAGCTCAAACTTTATCAAATATTTTGAAACTTGGGTAGTTAACTGATGATTTATTTGCTTTTCTGCACTCTAGAATTGAGCCCAGTACAACGTTTTTCTCAAGCTTAATGCTAGTACAAATTTAAGTCCGGGTAATTATGAGCCACCCTGCGTATGATCATAGTAACAAGATAATTCATATTGCTAAAATCGGTTTTCAGGAGGCTTGTATTATTGAAAAACAGTCTCTTAATTTTTATATTCCAGGACAACGAACTAGAAACTTGGAAACAGCAAGAAGCAGATGCACGAGAAGCTCAATTGTTAGCGCAAGCGACTTATGAGGAAATAACGCGAAGAACTCTAAACAATTTGCAAATAATGGAGAGAAACTCAAAGCGATCGATTGGGTTAGACACTAGAGATATAGTGGCAACGAAGGAAAAACTAGTAATAGCTACAGCAGGTTTGTTAGATTACTGTATAATCCGTTGAAATTTATTTCTTCCAGACGTTGAGAATGATTTCTTGCCTTTTTTATTCAATAGTGCTGAACAATCATATAAGATTCATATGCTTCAGACGAGAGTTAATTGCTGTGAGAACCTTTACATATGTCAACATCGAAATAATTTTGGAATTTCAGCTTTACGGTCCAATCAAAGAAATTATCGCCAAGAAAGAGTAATAAACAGTATAATTAATACCCATTTTTCCATCTGAATTTTCAATATTCATACAGTTTTTATTTGATTTCTCTAGGTTTTTGAATTCATGTTTATCAGTTCATGAACAATCATTTCAACTTGAAATAAACCCATTTATCAGGCTATTTAGTGACTGTTTCTATGAATTCTCGAGACAAAAAGTAAACATTTTTTCTCTCTCGAGAGGTTTTCTCAAAGAAAAGCAAACGAAACGATTTTCGAGTTAAAAAGAACGATTTTTGCATTTCTCACAGTTTCCCGATTTGTTGACAACAGTGAAATCTATTTTTCCCATAATGAACCATATCAATTTGCCCTTGATTGTCTCTTCTCAATCTTGGAAATTGTATTTCGAGACCCAGAGACAATACACAGTTCTTGCATCTTTTTCTCTTCTCATTCTTTTTTCTCTCTAGTGACGAGTGGCTATGAATCATTCACAATCACTCTTTTCAGTTGAAATTTCCCATATATAATATATTGCTTTTTCTTTATTTATTTCATTTCGATTTCAGAATAGCAATGTTCGTTTCCTACCGTATCCTCATACTTTTATCTTTGGTTGTCACTATTTTTTCATTAGAGTGCTATACGGGCTTCACTTATTTGAAGGCTCAATCAGTTGGTTGGTTTTTGTGTTTATGAAGGTTTCTAGTTATGAATTTTCCAGGAACATCTAAAGAAACATGCTCTTCTCCAAATGATTACTGTTATAATATGACAGCAGATCTGACATCATTAAATAATGTCAAAAAAGGTGGTTGCTCATCTACAAGATGTATTGTAAGTAGTTATTATATTTTTGTTCCAAGACGTTCTTTTGAAAGTAGGGATTCCACAGGTAATGCGGGGTTGCCGAAAGGCGTGCCAACGGCGGCTGAAGATCTAAGAATTGCCTGTAACTTGTCTTTAAGCAAATCGTTAAAATAGTTGTGACAAAAAGTATGGAAGAAAAACATTGGTAATCGATCTATCCTGAGGTTATAGCCCATTCTCAAATCTTCAGCCGCCGTTCGTACGCTCTTCGACAATACCGTCTTACCTGTGTATTAAATCTACAAGAACCTATCAGATTAAGAATTCTGTAGCTCTCTGAAATGAAGACAATCATTTTTGAAATATTTTGTCTATTCCTTGATAATCAACATACATTAAGATCGCTCGAAACAAGTGCGTGACTCAATCGGTCGGTGGGACTCAACTCCAGTTCTGTTGTTGTAATACTGGTGATCTTTGCAACTCAAAACTGACTGTAAGAAAAACATGTTTTATTTTTCTCTCAAATAAACCGAATTCAGAACATGAGTTTCTTCGAGAAAACGAAACAAAGAGCCAAGGATTTTCTGGACATGCTCAGAGGATGAGACAAATTTATTCAATGCACCAATTGAATAATAAAAACTTTTATCTTTTCTTTCCGGCAGATACGAGTCCTTTGAGCACTGACAGCCCTCGATCAAAAAGGGATCCAGAATCCTGGAAAAAGAAAACATTAAAATTTCCAAATCTTTATTTCAGCTACATATTTAGTTTGGAAGTCATTAAAAACCTTTTGGAAAAGGGGTTTCTTGATTTTTCTGGTTCAAAAAAGTTCAAAAAAAAAATCGGAGCCGTGGGAGAGAAACTCCGGTGGTTGTGGCGGGAGACAATTACCGTAACCCACAACGACAATTACCGTAACCTGAAAATATATTTATTTTCCGGATTTATTTTCTTGTTTTTCATTGTTTTCCGCCCAGCATTCTGTTATTTTCCCCAAAAAGTCGGGTAATATAAATTTCTGATACTGAACAAATTTAGCTAAATATCACAAAAATAGATAATCTATCCGGAAAATGAAAACAATTGTTAGTTTACGGTAGTTGTCGTTGTTTGGTGACAACCTTTGGTGACAACCACTTGCGTTTCTTCTTCACAACTAAGATTTCCTTGTACCAGAATAACATATCTTCTTGAGAATAATATATCTTCTTGACATACCGTAACAGCTCCCCCATTGCATAGATCTCCTGTGTTACAGCAACAAAAAGTCAGCTGTTGTCCGGAAACGTTTTGATCGAAACATTTATTAGCATGAAACTGAAACCTACGTTTTTTTTTGAAAGTTAAACTGATAGGAATTACCTGACAGATTACGGTATTGCAACCCGCTTTCTGAAACTTGCTGAATGACGAAATATCAGCAGTTCCGTTATAACAAAAGTCAGTTTCCTTTCCGCATTCTTTCGTTTCCGTTCCTATTGTGCTACCTATGGTTTCTATGGCTCTTTGTGTTAGAAATCTTGAAACCTACCTTTCATAATTGAATATCCTGTATAGCATTTCAGAACACCTTGTGAGATTGGAATAGTCAAGAAAAACACAAAAAGAACACAAAGATGATTCATGATAATATTAAGAGGAGTCGAAGACGGAAACCGACTAAAATGACCAAAAGTGACCCTTTTTGTTTGTCACTTCTTCTTCTCATCAGAGGAAGTTTCATCTTTTTTTTCACGTCTCTTTCTCAAATTCGATTCTTTATCAATGTGTCACACCATATCACAGGGGAAATCAATTTTTATCTTTAATAGTAACAAATGGAATCAACAAGCCTATCACTATAATCGAAAAAAAAAACAATCGAAAGACACTAGTTTTCGTGAAAATCGAAATTATATGGCTTCTTGTCCATCTCTGGCAACCCGATATCATCGAAGGTGTCGAAAATCTCCGGACCGTATATCACGTTTTCTGATTTGAGATACCTGAATTATCAATTATATATCATATTCAATTAGTTATTTCAACTCACCTATAGAGCGATTTAATATGTCTGTTTCTTTGTAGCATATCACTATTTCCAACTAGAACGAACTGTCTTTTAGCGCGAGTGATGGCAACGTTCAATCGTCGAGTTTCCTTCAAAAAACCAATGGAACCTAAAAAAATAATGAATGTTCTAATCACATGGTCAATTTCACACCTTCATCGTTGTCTCTGACAAGACAGAAAATGATTACTTCGCGTTCTTGGCCTTGAAAGGCATCAACTGTATTGACGTCAACCCGGAAACTGATCGAATTACGCAACTTCTCGATCTGAAATGGATCTTTATAAAGGGTAGTTCTAGACACAATCAAACGAACCTGAGAATAATATGGAGCGATCACAGCAATATCTTTTGGATTGACACCTACATCTGTTACTAATCGAATAACGTAGTTCGAAACAACATTGAGCTCTCCTGGAATGACGTGGAATTGATTCAGAACAAACACTAAACTACAGACCTGTATTTGAATATGAGTTCGAATCAAAACTTTCTTGAGATCGGTCTTCGAAATTCTTCATATCAATCATGAATATTGGTTTGTTAGCGATATAATTCGTTGGAATCTTCGGATAAATATCACGGAGAGTGATATCAGAAACACTGGAGTGTGCTGTCAGTTGATTATTGTAGAAGTGCTCATTCGACCAATGCATTATCTTCTCGTTCATACGATACTGTTCATTTAGCAAAATGTTGATATTATTTTTAGCGAATTCCTCTGCTAGTTTTTCCATTAATGACATGCCGAAATTCGCACGCACAGCCCTGAATATCACTATTCCCAGTTACGAATAACCGTATCTAGCTCTCACTTATCTGATAAAACAATGGCGGGTAACTGTTTCTGATCTCCGACCAACACCAGCTTCTTACACGTCGGCGTTGTCAGAGCGGGCACCCAAGTCGAGGGCTCTGTGCATTGAGCTGCTTCATCAACGATCATCACATCCGCTTTCCAGTCGTATTCTGGCAGCTTCTGAATCGAAGATGTTCCGAGGGTTGAGAAAATGGCCCGTCGAGGTGCATAAATACTTTGGTAAATCGAACAGCGCAGTTTCATGCATTCGTATGCCATAAGCTTGGTCGACTGACCTTTCTGATTGCTTCTCATCTGAAATTAGACATTGACTTTAGTTTATCAGGCTGATATTACTGAATGAAAACTGTTGCATATGAAAGCTTACAAGTTCTTTTTCCATAGTTTCAAGCTTTGCTGTAGATGGATGATCTTGAAACTCATCCCGCGTATTGTTTAGAATACACAGCTCTGAAAATTCAAGAAAGGTTGAAGCGAACCCAATGGCAGAGTAAAACTAGGCCAACCTTTTTGGACGGTTTCTGGGGGGATATCTTGGCACATTCTACGTCTCACTGCATCCATGGCATTCTGTACTGCGACGTGAGTTGGAGCGCATATCAGAACTCTCTTTTTCTTCTTCAACAACTGATGTACAATTTCCGCAATAACACGAGTTTTTCCTGTCCCTGGTGGACCTTGGATACAAAGAAGATTCCTCTGTGGGTTGAGAGCAGCGGATACTGCGGCTTGTTGACTAGGATTCAAGGTTTCTGGTAGGTTGTTCAATTTCCGATCTTTAGAAATATTTGTTTCGTAGCTATATGAATCATATTTGAATACCATGAATCGAAGGCATCGGGATAGTTCGATAAGCGAGATTGATTAGGTGAACACTGTCACTCGACAGAGTCGTTGGGTCTCTGCAAAATTTGGATTTAACTTGGCAGCAAAGCAACTCAAGAAGCTTACTTTAGAATACCTTTTATGAATCTCAGTGCTCCACCATTGGCTGAGGGAGTCAGAACGAATGTTTCTATTGCCGGATCAATCGCATTGTTTTCATAGGCGCAAAATTTGATTAGGTTATATTTCAGACCAGCGATATGACCTTCAGTAACTTTTTTCAGTACCCCGTCCTCGTCGATTCTATTCAAAGAAACTGGGATTCCATTCCTGAGCCATCTAGCTGATGAAATTGTATCACCCGATAGCTCAACAACATTCCCGCAGGACACATCGTAATACTGTGAATTGACGACCAAGTTGCCGATACAGCATCCTCTTGCTTCGATTTCTTTCCAATTTGACTTGTTCTGAATCATTTCGTTCAGCTGAAATTTTATTTGAAATTTCTTGGATTGCTTTGCTGATGGAATACCTTTTCATGTTGGGAATCTACTTCTGCATCGAGCAGTTTCGGCCAACTTTTCAAGTTTTCCCAGAATTTCGGAGTGAGAGAGATTTTATTTTTAGGGGTTTTCTTTAGTACTCGTGAAACCTTCAGCAGTTGACTAGTTTTTGAGAAGTGACATTGTGACCCATAACTTAGAAAACACCCAATGTTTCTACTTGCATACATTATTGTTTCTGACTATGTACGTTCAAAGTTTATGTACATTTTCACAAAAACTGCTTTTCGGTCACTTTTCGCGAAAAAAATGTTTCTCTCAAAACTACGAATAGAGCGCGGTTACATCTTCTGCGCACGCGACGCGCACGCATCGCCTCCCACGTTCGTTCCGACACTTTTGATTTTTGCTGTCTGTCGGTGTTTTATCTCAATTTCAGTGAAAAGTTTCTTGATTTTCTTGATTTTTCTTCAAACATGGGCAAGCTGGAGCAGTTTTAATCTCTGAAGTTTATGCAAACAGTTTTGTATCGGCGCGTTCGTTATAAATCCTGAAATATTCCTTGTTTACCTGTTCGCTGTGTACATCTATCAAAATCTACAAATATCGTTCATATCCTCGTTTCTCATTGCTTATTTTATTTCCAGATTTCAACCACTGCATCTGAAATTAGACTAATAACAACTTCTTTGTTCTTTGAACATAATGTCGGTTATAATTCGGCTGAAAAATTTGCCCATGACGGCGGCCGCTGCCGACGTACGCACATTTTTTTCTGGTTTGAAAATTCCTGATGGCGCTGTTCATATTATCGGTGGCGACGAAGGAGAAGTGTTCGTCGGTTTTGCTTCCGACGAAGACGCAAGACTTGCAATGGCACGGGACAGAGCGAAAATTCATGGAGCTGAGGTTTGTTGTTGACACCACCGAATCTGGTCTTTATGACCCCGTATCCGGAAAATCTGAAAAACTTCTGTGGGATCATTTTTATTAACAGTAAACCGGAATGTTGAAAGTGGAAATATGCAAAGTCGAACCTGAACCTGATTTCTAAAACAATGGAATTTACTAATGTTTAATGCTTCGTATTCCCTTTAATTAAAAAAAAAAGTTCAATAGGTAATTGGTTTCTGAACCGTCTGTGGTACGATATTCGGCGGGGGTTTTAGTCGCGAAATTATTGGATTTACAAGTAATTTATAGTGTCATTTGGTTGCAATTTGGGTTGAAGAAAGTATTTCTGACACATGATGAAAACAACTGAAGGGTTTGAAAATCATGGATGGCTTCAAAGAATGAGTGATACATTTATTATCTCCAAATGAGCACATCTTTGAAATGCGAAAACAGCTTTGCAGCGATTTCCACCCTTTCTGAGGTTTTATTCCAGGTGTGCCTCCTCTTCTGAATGTTTTCTGCTTTTGAAGATCCTCTTTCGTTGTTTGATCCTTTTTTCCATACGACAAGAATCCTTGTAATCTTGAAAGTCAGGTTTATATCATAATTTCTGTTGGGACATTATTAGAATTCAAAAATTTTTTGGGAAATTGAATACTATCGATTTGGATGGTACTATTGACTATTTGAAAGAGAAAGAAATCATTAATCTCCTTCAGATTCCTACGGGTCTCTGGGTTCATTCTGTGATAGTTAAGAATACTAAAGATGTTTGTTGGGATTGCAATGAAAATCTGGAAAATATTAGAAAAAAAATCCACTGTTCCTTATATAGCTTGACTATGTTTTCGACCAAGAATCCACAAAGACAGAAAAGTAAAGCCAGGCTGCTTCCTGGTTATCTTCGTGTATTCTGTATGCCTCGAAATTCACACAATTTGGGCAAGGTTGGGATAATCATGTAAAGTGTATTGTAGAAATATTTATTCACAGCTCTATCTGCGACGCTTAATTTTCCCTACACTACCTATACTGCAGAGTCAGAGAATATGTTTCAATGTCTGTGACTGATCGTCAACACTAGTTCTGCATAAGATGGTATTCTGGAATATTTTCCAGGTTACGGTAGTTTTTTTTTTCTGGGACCTGCGGCTACGGCTATCGACTTTTTTCTTCTGAAACTCCCTTCTGCAACAAAATACTTCGAAGTTTTTCTATCGAATTGTTTGTTTTTCTTTACATTCAAAGGCTGATTCATTTTCAGTGTATTGTAGATTTAAAACTCCGCCCTTCTACAGGCAGTTCAATTTTCAGGTTTAACATGCAGGCTAATATTCTTGAGAACATGTTTTCGTCTTCCTAAACATAACCTCATACTGACCCTTTAATTCAAACTCGTCAGCATCATGATGCTTCTCATTGAAAACTTCGACTTTTGTCCAAATTCAGATGTACTTGGGTTTCCTAATGCTGATGTTCGGTAGTAGTTTTGTCAGATTTTCCGTGTTCCATGCCATAAGTTCATTCTGCCCCCTGTCGTGGTGTTTGAAATTTTCAGCTTCTGAAAGCAAGAACCCAAACGATACCAAGGTGTCCTAAAATGCAAATACACAAAGATGTTAACAATTTATTCTAAATAGGTTTACTAGAACCGACCCAAATTAGGCCTAATGGATCTTTTTGAATGCGTGCCGTCTGAAAAATGTAAACTCTTTTACTATTTATCCATTGGTGAACATCACAGAATCACACTGGTTTGCCCGCCATCTAACTGCAATATAAATTAAAGTGGTGAAGAGAAACGATGGTGGCCGAGGACGATGGTCCCGGAACGTAAACTACAGTAACCGGAAAATACCATGGTTTCCTCAATAGATCCTCATGGTCTTCTATTTTTCAACTTCTTTCTCAGGGTGTATTATTATTAAAGAATGGGATTCAATGGGAGAGTTTTCCTTTCTTGACTAAACAGGAATATTCAGAAAACGTCAAGAATTAACGGAAATTGCGAGAAGAAAATGTATCTTTCTTATATATAAAACGCTACACGCGTCTGTTGGTCCTCATGTCAGGCTGTGGACTTTTGAAAAGCTTGAAAATTAAATATAGATTTACGTGACCTTTTAAGAAAAAGTGATTAGGGGAGCGACGAACCAGTAAAAAAAACGAGGTTGAATCGCGCCGAAGGCGCACCAGCGTGCTGGTCTGCATAATCGAAAGAAGTAAATGCACAGCTAGGCTCATACTTGCAACGGGCCGGGCCGGGCCTTCGAAAAATTGGTCAAGGCCCGGCCCAGAAGGTCCGGAAGGCCCGGCCCGGGAGGCCCGGAAGGCCCGGCCAGTTGGCGCCAGCTTCGATTTTTGGGCAAAAAAGTGTGTTTTTTTATGAAACAGTTGTTTTTATCATCTAGTTTTGAGCTAAGATGTAAATATTGAAATTGTAAATGTTTAAACAAATTTTTGAAAAATATTTTTTCCTGAATTTTTCCAAAGTTGATATCGAAGAAAAAATTGCATTTTTGAAGCAAAATAACAGTTTTCTCTCAAAAACTAGTTTTTTTGTTAAAAAATTATCAAAAAAAAATTTTTTTTTTCAGAAATTTCGACCAAAAAAATTCTTGTCCGGGCCGCGCCGGGCCTTCAAAATTTTTCAAAGCCCGGGTCGGGCCTTCAACGATTTTTGCTAGGGTGGGATTCTATTAGAAGCGGGATTCAAATAGAAACGGTGTTAGAGAAAATACGGTAGTTCTATTATGGTGTTACAAAAATCGGAGCTGTGGAAAAGAAACCCCGGTGGCCGTGGCCGAAGGTCTCACAACGGCAACTACAGTAATCCGAAAGTTTTTTTTTTATTTTCTGAGATTGTTTTCTCGATTTTCAGTAAACAGAAAACTCGAGAGAAAGCAAAGACAAACGATGAAATGAAGACAGAAAGATAAGAAAAATTAGGTTACTGTAGTTGTCGCTGTGGGACCTTCGGCCTCGGCCTCCGGGGTTTTTGTTCCGCCGATGTTTTGCACCAGAAAAATACTTCTCCCAAAGAAAAAATGTTTCCAGCCTAAAATTTTCATTACGTAATTTTCAACTTTCTGAATTCTCTCTCCTGTCTGTTGTCTTCTCTACAGCTACATTTTCGGTGTTCGACGACAGCTTCGTCTCTAATCAATGCGGGGACTAGATATTTCTGTGTAGAGGATGTCTGAAAATATAAGTACTGAAATTTTTAGCGAATTCTCAACGCCCGTCTGAAAAAAACTTTCCTTGTGAGCTCCTGAAAAAGTACTGCAACTTATTTGAATATTTTCATGATGAGTTTTGAGAAAACATGGTTATTTAGAAGCGCGTGAAAAATTGTTCAAAATGACTTTCACCCCTTACAGTGGTATGTATAAATATTCAGCTTAAAAGCCAATGGCGTTCTCAAAACTTGCTTGAGTTGAACTGCATTTGAGAGGCAAAAATAAACTAGGTGATGTCCAACTCTCAGAGTAATTTCGAATCTGAAAAAATTTCGATCGATCGAACAGGTTTTATAATTTAACCACGCCATCGCGGTTGGGGACCTGAAAAACGCGCTTCGTCGCACCCAAAAGTTGGCTGCGTGCCAGATTCGAAAATTTTGAAGCGTGTTTTGAAAAAACGTGAAGTTAAACGTTGTTGAGTCGCTACTCACCGAAAAGCCGCGACGCGACCGCGCTACGCGTCCAAACTTGGCGCGCTTTCCAATTTTTAAATCTAGGTTCCCTTCCGCGAGGCCGTGATTTAACTACTGGAATTTTTACTTTTGGAATCGCTTGGACTGTTATTTTAGAACACCTTTTTGAAAAGATCACTTGGTAATTTTAGTTAAGCTACAAGATCGACCCTCTTATTGTCGAATTAAAAAAAGTGACACCTGAGAATTTGAAAACTTTTGCTTTTCTTGATCTATGAAAAAGTGCGGCAAAAACGTAATATTTCAGAATTTCGGCTAGTTCGAGCTACTTTCGCGTTTGAGTTTAGTTTTTTGCTGAAAAATGGATTCTAGAGATGCTAGCGATCATTTTCATACCAAGAAATCAAAATTTTGTTCAGAAAATCCCACTAAATTCACAGAAATAAATTTGTTATCTACAGTATCCGTTTTCGCTCCGCCCCCCTCGTAAATCGACACGAGCGCCATCTCCGAGATTTTCAGGTGCCACTTTTTTAATCCGACAATATTGTCGAATTAAGAAAAGTGGGACCACTTGGGTCCAAAGCAACGGGTCAGAAAAAGCGCCCCAGCAAACTCATAGGCCAGAAGAAATTTAATAATTTTAAAATGAACGCGGGTTTGAACTAGATCATGATCTATTTCTTAAAAATCAACGGGTTGCAACGCGCGTATTTTCGCTCATCGTTTTAAACTGTGATACTCAGCCAACAAAGTTCGGCAGCGAATTGAGAATTTTTGAAAAATTTACTGGGGCGCGCTTTCTGACCCCCTCGCTTGAACCCAAGTGTGGGACCTGAAAATTTGAAAGGCGTAGCTTTTTTTGATTTACAAAAAAGTGCGGCGAAAACGTAATATTTCAGATTTTCGCCTCGTTCGAGCTACAATTAAGTTCGGTTTTTTGATGAAAAACAGATTCTAAAGATGCTAGCGATCATTTTCCTACCAAGAAATCTAAATTTTGTTCAGAAAATCCCACTAAATTCACAGAAAAAATTTCGTTTAATACCGTAGTGTTACTGGGACAAGGCCTCGAAAATTGACCGGGAAGCCGTCCGCGAAATTTTCCAGGTCCCACTTTTTTAATTCGACAATAAAAATATGTGTTTCCACTGGATTGAAGTTCATAATTATTGTGCAATTTCTAACAACAGAGTTGAATATTTCCCATAATTGTAGTTTCTGGATGTGAGCTTTAGAAGGAAATTATTGGGAAAATAGTTGTGTCGAAAATGAGAATCTGGAAATTTTCAGATTCGGCTATTCCTCTCCTCCAAATCAGAACAATCGTCAGTGATTGCCGCACGAAAGAATGCATCATATGCATCTCCTGAGCCACACGATCAACACGTTCCTTCCGCTTTCACACATTCTGCCCAGTTCCAGCAGGATTGGAAACCTCAGCACACAGGAAATCCGTATGCCGCTAAATCCGGATATGAGGCATCGTACCCGCCACAGAACTCTAACCAAATTCACCTAGACTTTAACAGTCAGAACGTGTACGGTAATCGTAAAGAAATATCTGAGGTAATTTGTGAATACTGTAGGTTTTGAGTGCAAACAAGCAACTATTTTAGAATCGACTTCAGTCTCCTATTAAGAAGGAAGAACCATTCGACGATGATTTTGGTGACTACACGCACTCTTTCCAACCACAGGTTCCGCAGCCACAGCCGAAATTCGATAATAGATATGGATCTGGATCAACATCTATTAAGCTAGAGGAACCAGTGAAGCCTCAAGCCGCTCCACCTGCTCATCTTCCAATTCATTCAGCTCAGAAGCCCGTCCCTGAAATACAATATGGAATCAGAGGAGCAAGTATAAATAATGGTCAAAATGGAATTGGTTTTCATGAATCTGGAAATGACCAAATGTCAGGAGGAGATTCGTGGAGAGACAACTCTTTTAAAAAGTAAGAAAATTATCTGATAAGGTTTCGAAAGTATTATCAGCTGTGTTTCAGACCTGCTCAGAACGAGTACAACGCCGGATATAGAGGTGACTATCATGAATATCAGAGTTATCCAGAAACACATAAACGAGACTTCCATGGTGGAAACAAATTCAACCAAGCACCAGCGAGAAATGTCCCACCAATGAATGCACAACAGCCAGTTGTCCGCCCTTCTCAATCAATGAACGGCAGGAAAACACTGATGCCTACTCCCCCAGCGCCATTCCAAAATCCTCCTCAACCATTCGCAGCTCCACCATCCGGAGGAAATAATTCTCAAATCAATCGCCCCTTCCAAAATGGTCTTCCACCGCAAAATCAACTTCGGAATGATACGCCTGTGTTCCGAACCAATACCGCTCCGCCTCCAATCCCGAACAACATAAATCGACAGATCCCACCTGCAGTACAACATCCACCACCAGCTTTCCAGAACAAAATTGCGACTCCTGCTCTAGTTCCAGCTTTCAATCAGGCTCCTGTTATTCCATCGGCAAACAAACTGAACGGACCTGCTAATCAGACTGTTGAAAAGTTTTACATCGAATTAACGCGACTTCCTATGGATTTGCTCCGCCCGGCAGCATTGGAGGCATTCATTCATCCTACCGTTCCATTGACTCTTTCATCAGTTAAAACAGTTTTTGGACCAGGAGGAATACACATGCACACCATCATTCGACTCGATTCGATCGCTGATTACGCCACTATGATGAGAAGAAACGGAGAGCAAGGCATCAAAATTCAACAGTCCGATAAAAAATCATTCGAAATGGCTGTTGATGGTGCTCCTCTTCCAATTCCAGTTGTCCAACCAGTCGCAACTATGCCTATAATGCAAGTGAATAAAAAACAAGACGAGGATGATAACAAAAAGAATAAGAGAAGCCGTTGGGAAAACAAAAGTCCGACTAGAAGTCCAAGAAGAAGTCCACCACGACGAGACATCCGATCGAGAAGTCGTAGTCCACTGCGCCGAAGAAGACGGTCGAGGAGTCCAGCCAGAATAAGTCAACACACAGATCCAACTAGATGGTCTGTCTTAGTAATGAATGTACCATTCCGTATAAAAGAAGAAGAGCTCATGGAGTAAGCATCAAATGTTCCCAGATTTGAAAAAATCTAAAATTTTCAGATGGTTTGCCGAAAAAGTTCGTCCAGCCAAGCTCTCTCGTGCATACTATTCTGATGGGAATGCATCAGATCGATGGATAGCAGAGTTCTCAAGTGAGAGTCTGATGCGTCGAGCGTTCTCTATTCGAACATTGTGTTCTGGCCGAACTCTGAGGCTGACATACGTTAAGAACGAGGAAGTCGATAAAATGTTGAAAATAGAAGATGTCTACGGAGAGGAAAAACGTCATAAAAATGAGGAAGCTCGGGTAAGTAATTCGAATTTTAATTTGCCTCTGAAATCAAATCGATATTAGGCTCTACAGTCAGAAGCGGAGAAGATCAATCCCCCGTCTTTCTTCAATGCTCCAGTGACGCGTGGACCGCCTGGCGGTCATATGGTTCCCCAAGGACTTCCGAACTCAATGAATGGACTACCACCACCACAACCAAATGGCTTTAATGGATCAGTTCCTCCAGCTGGTTTCAGTCAACCACCACCGTCAGGCAGTTTCAATGGTCTAACACCTCATATTCGGGGAGGATTCGTTCCACGTGGCAATGGGTTTTCTCAAAGAGGTGGACCCGTGGGCCGTGGAGGACATGGTGGACCTGGTTTCTATCAAAACAATGGAGATAGTTTCAACAATGCTCCAGAACAATCTCAGCAAAAAGGATTTGGAAATCAGGATGGTTTCCGAGGAAGCTATCGAGGTGGTTTCCGAGGTGGACGTGGACGAGGAGGTGGATTCCAGGGAAATAATCATCGTAGTGATGAACCTCAGCCATCACAAAATGAGTTTATGCAGTTAGTCCAATCCATTGGTCCACGTGGTACAGTACTGTCTTGTAATGGATTCCCTAAGGATGTCACTCTCGAAGATGTGGTAGACTTTTTCCTTCCATATGAGCCCGACCGCAATTCGATTCGCATTCGACGTGGCGATGATGGAGTGATGACAGGAGAGTGTATGCTTGCATGTTTTGGTCAAGAGGTAATTATAAGAAAATAGAATCAATATCTTCAACAATTCTTTTTTCAGCATGCTCGTCGTGCATCTGTTGATCTTGATGGACAGAAACTCCGCAATTCGCTCATCAGTGTTCGCCTTGTTTGAATAATCTCAAATATGTCTATGTTAATAATTTTTAAGCACTGTTAAACCATCAGTATTTCTTGTTTCCACTCAATGTCCATCCATTTCGATATGTTCCCTCCCAGTTCTGGAATTTTATCTGTATTGGTAAAATCTCTACGTATCCCCAATCCTCCTACAAGTAATGATCTCTCTATCCCGTTGCAGTGTTCAATGTTTTCACTCAATCTAGAATCCATCCTTTCAGTAAATATTACTCTCTAATTTCGTTAGTATTGATGAAGTTACTTATTATTTACACTCCGTTGTTGTTTTTTTCGGAGGCATTAGCATGATTATGCATTGAGCGCCGTAAATTTCGGGGTCTCGCAGAATTCGTTAGGAGATCCGCAAGTCGTCTTCTCATCCATGCAACTACGCTTTGTGTGCTCAAAGAGCCGCGCTTTTATCGTCCCCATTTGGGCACCGACGTCACCGTCAGGCCTTATTTGTTTACATGCCAATTATAAAATCTTGATGATTGAGACTTTGAAACTAATTATACATTTAATTCAGGTCAATGTAAAAAAGAGCGAAACAAAGACAAAAAGTCGCTCAGTTTTTAGTAATTTGAAGAAAATGTAGAAAACTTTTCGAAAAACGAAAGTCCGGTTAGTTATTATTCTGGAACTAAAAATTGGAGCTGTGGAAGTGAAAATCTGGTGGCTGTTACCACGGCCGAACTACCGTAGTTAGCAATTGTTTTTATTTTCAATTTTTCTCAACTTTCGTGCGTTTTCCAGATTCAGAAAATAATTCATTTTCCGACATGGTTGAGGTTTTTCAAAACGGAAGTTGTCGAAAAGTGATAGTGATCGAGAAAAATGGACCGACCGAAAATTTAGGTTACGGTAGTAAGACCTTCGGCCACAGCCAGAAGTTTTTCTCTTCCACATCTTTGATTTTTTTGTACGAGAATATAATAAAAATGTCGAATTTTTTATTTCTTTGGAAAGTACGAAATGTTCCCATCCTTGAAAATTCTGACCTATACCAAACGAAAATTCTTTTAATCCTTCCCTTCAAGGAATTCCATTCAAACAAAACAAATTATTATTTTTCGGGATACTCATAAATCACAAAAACGCATTCAATCTTAAAAACATTCCTTTCTTTCCCTTCCTCTTGTCCCGAAATCTCTGATTATTACTTTCTGTCTCTCTACTTCTACCCTGAATGTTGCCAAGTGGTCCTTCATATGCTCATTCTTCAGGTTTTTTAGTAGTTTTTCCCTTCTTTCTTTCCGAATGCACCCGTTTCTCTCCTCATTTTTTCCTCTTCCACTCTCTGCTCCGGATGACCAATTCAATTGAGATGAAGACCGAAAAAGAGCATTTGGTGCCCATTTGAAGGCGTGCTTTTGTCCGAAAAACGAGTAGACATGAGCTGGACAAGAACAAAAAAGATAGAGTAGGAGCAAGAAGAAGACTATTTTCTTCTGCTTGTTTTTTTACTATTTTGTTTTCTGTTGTTTTTGGTGTTTTTTGGCTTTAATACAGGAAATAATTGCATGCTTGTTTGAAGATATAAATACCCATTTGAAAATCTTATAGGGATTACTGTAGTTTCAGAATGGCGGAGGATATAGACGATGTATGGCTGGGGGATGCTTTTCTTATTACGTTAGACATTTTTTGAATAGATTTACTGTGGAACGAACATTTTTTACATAAATATACTGTTCATATGCAATAAATCGAAGCAGTGGAAGAGGAAATCTGGTGATCGCAGCCTACCGTGATTAGCAAATATTTTTTCTCAATTTTCGTCCGTTTTCCCGCATTTTTTAGATTTCAAAAGTTTTACTTTCCGACTTGTTTGTAGGTTTTCAACATAAGAGCTGTCTTCGAAAAAAAAGGACCTAACATTTTAGATTACGGTAGTTTTCGTTACGGGGACCGTTGGTCACGCCCACATGCTTTTCTCTTAAACAGCTCTAATTTTTTATACAAGCATAATGCACTCAGATTCGAAGAGTATTAATAAGCACAACATGTTCAATTAAATATTTTCTTTCTAGATTCTTTTGCCATATTCATTTTTACCTCTACTCTCTATGGCAGCCAATAGACACATATATTCCTAAAAGTCCCACATAAAGGACTTCTTTCCCATGATTTCAGAAAATAATTTCTTCTCGGAATGCTTGAATTTCTCTGTTCTTTTTTATTTTCAACTTTGGACACTCTCTCTTCTCTCTCGGAAAAAGCTTCGAGAATCGAAATAAATCGTTTTGTTTTTGTCCTTCAGTTCCCTAGATGAGACCAATTTGTCCGAAAATTCCCCGTCACTGTGGCCGTTTTGGGACAGCAGCAAGAAATGCCACAAAAAACACAAAAATAGGAATGCATATTCATATTTTGATGTTCCATTTTTGGGTCTTCTTTAAAGTCAAAGATGTTTTTCCTTTCTCCTGCTTATTCTTCATCTAGGAAATTGTCACTTTTCATGGGAAATTTTAAAACTCAAGAGGAATGTGTTTTTTGTTTAGAGAAAAGAATACAACTGCAAAAAGGAAATTAACACTAGAGTCGTAGTAGCAAGCGAAATTGAAATTCGGTTATTTTTCTGAATTTTAGTTTGGGCAAAGTTTGGGCACATTTTCAAAAAGATAAAGCAAAAGCCAAAAACGTTACGTTTGAATCAACTGACAGTGAGACATTTAAGCTCGGTGAATCCGGAAACTGTGGAAAAAACATTTTGTATACTATTCCGAAAAAAAAACGTTTGCCTAAAACTGTGAAAGGGAAACAACTCTCCATACACCTCATTTTCCTCATTTTTGGTTGTCACACAGTCCTCATTTTTGGTTGTCAACGTTTTTAGGCATGGTTTTGTTTTTGTTTTTCAAAAATCATGAAATATCCAGGAATATTACCTTGCAGAGATTTCATATGTTTATAGAAAATCGTTCTTTTCTTTGGCTTCTTGTAATTTTTTGGTTTCCGCAAAAAAAATCTTCTTGAACTTGATCCGCTGATTTGATTTTTTTCTCTAAAAAATATTCTGAAAAGAGCATGTTTTTCAATTGATACACCGTAAAGCCTGTAATATTAGGGCCCCTACACTGTAAAGTCTGAACTTGATTATCTCAATTCTAATGCAAGATATGAAAATGTGCCAACTTACTAAACACTTCTGATATAATGATTAAAAATTATTCAGTTGACAACTTTCTTATATCTTTGACAGGAACCGAGATAAATAGGCTCAAAGTAGAATGTTAAGAGGCCCTTCTATTACAGGTTTTACGGCAACCTGAATAGAATACTAGTAACTCAAAAAAGGAAGGAACAACTGAGAACTTGAGTTTTTCATAACATGTGTAGATTTTCTTTTTCATTTTCACCTGCTTCCTGAAAAAAATTGATCTCACTCGTCCGTCTACAGTCCGTCAATGGCCCGCCTGTTCTCCTTCGCCAACTAACAGTTATTCGCCAGTTTCAGTCTTTTCAGTGCCATTTAGCATTTTTTTGCACACTTTAACTCTGCTAGGAAACCCGCTTGCATGTTGTCTGACTTCTAGATTTTGCACGGAGAATCAGCCTTGTCTTTTTATGGATCCAATATGTCTAAACAAGCCTAACAATCAGGTTCTACTTCTGTATCTACTTGTTTGTTGCTTAGTTATCCTTTGAGTTTATAATAAATTTGTCAACTACTTCAAATTTTTTGAATCACAACTACACTCTCTTCCATAGTTCATTTTCAAAAAAAAGCTGGAAAGGCCAAGTGTTCCAATTTATCCCAATTCCATCATCAGCGGAAGCTATCGTCAGTTCTTCTAAATCCACAATGATTCAATCAACTTTCGGAGTGCCATCTCCTTCGTCTCTCTTTTTTTTTGCTTTTCCTTCTACCCCACCAATCTCTTCTTTCACGATGCGCAACTATTCTCTCTGTTTTTTTTTATTTTTTAGAACTCGATTTTCGTAAAGCACATTGAGTATTCTGCAGAATTTCCTGAAGACTTCTAGATAAAAAAAAGAAGAGTTAACCTCTCTCCAATGCTTACTTTTTTGTTGGATTATCCGAATCTGCTTACCAACAAGAAATTTCCCAGAGGCAGTACGATAAGACTAAGGAATAAGCTACTACTTTTGATTTCACTTTTTTAACTGTCAACGAAACAAAAGCCAATTTGGAATATTTTTTCAATGGACATTATTCACAATATTTTTATATTTTCAGTATTGCTTCGGTATCAATTTTAGTATCTATCCGTTTTGATGTCATACAAATTTTTCCGAGTTTGAGTTTTGCGCTTCCTTTATTTGTCACGTTCTCTTTTTCCCACTAGGAGTCAAAAGGGAAAAAAAAGAAAGGCCATAGAGATTTGCGCAAAGATGCTCTTCTTCCGCGTACTAACTAAACTAATTACCTACCTATTTTCTGTCAGTGTGTCTCTTTTTTTCATCGAAGAGAGAAGTTCGCCTGAATCTAATTTAGTGCGAAAAGAAAAATAACTAAGTGCCCTGAGGGAATCCCATCAGATGACGTTATACATTCTAGAAACGTCAAGAAATGGATGGCTGTTCACAACTTTTGCATCAAAAGTAAAAGATTACTGTAACTTTAATCTAGCAGCTGAACGAAGTTTAAGTTTTTTTTTCTTAGGATGCAATTAAAATATACCAAAATTATATGGCTAACATTTTTGCACTTTCATTCACAATCAGTAACCAATGCACCCTTCTTCAAATTTCAAACAACAGAACCCTAACCCATGTTGCGCCCTTTTTAGTTTGCCATTTTCCTATCTTTTTTTCATGAGCTCGCATGAATATATTTTTTACAATTCGATTTATTTTTTTGTTTCTCGTCATAGTCTTCTTATTCTTCTTCTTTTCTTGTACATTCTTTCACATATTTTTTTGTTTACTGTCTCTTTTTTTCAGAATTCTACGAAAACTTTGATTCTTTTTTCCTTCCAAGTTCATTGGGTACCCACTAGACAAAAACACCTCATTCAAAACTATTTCCGTTTCTCTTTTTCGTTCAAAGCGTTTTTTCAGTCAAAAAAGTTTTCTTTTGAAAATCTGATTTAGTTCTCACTATTTTTCTTATTAAACTAAAACAAAAATCGTTTCACCGTCAATGAGTCAAGTGCATAGAAAATTGAATGTCAGGGTTTCTGGATGGGAAATAAGGATTTTGTTTAGAACTTTTTTATGAGAGAACAATAATTTCAACGATATCCTAATCCAATTTTAAGAATTAACGAACTTCCAGACCACAAGCATCTCTGTTATCATTAATAGAAACTGAGCAGACAGGCTCGTTGACATTAAGGTGCATTGTTTGCATCCGCATGTGCCTTTATTCCCACAGAACCTAACTTCCAAAACTTCCAAAACCTACCTAGCTAGCTCTATTACCGATTTCTTCTCTCCCCATTATTATTGTTTTATGTTTTTTGATGTAAGAAGAAGAAACCTGAGATTTATGTTTGCTCAAAAAAGACAGAATTGGTTGTTGGAATCAATTCAAAAATCTCAAAAAAACGAAGGGACGCGTCCAGAAGAAAAAAAACAACTGAAGATAAAGAAGATAGCGGCGTAAAACTTCAAAAAGAAACTGAAAAATAGGGGGGAGAAGGGATTAAGAAGAACTTAACGTTGTCTGCCAGTTTTCCTCCATTTCTTTGCCCAAAAAGTTATACGTTCCAGTCTCGCTATGTTTTTCTATTTTTCTGTTTGGGTGGCTCAGAGATTATTTGATAAATCTTTAAATCTGAAAGCGAATTCCCAGTTTCCTCTTCTTCGAACACATAAAGAATTCTGGTTGTTTTGAAACAAACCAATCTTTGTCCCCAATTCATTTACGGAGTTATTTATTCGCAGAGTGCAGTAAACCCTCTAACAGAAGCCCACACTATACTTGCCCTTTGAGCTCAAGTATCTCAATTTCTGTTAGAGATATCTAAAATTTGTCAACTGATAAAATGTTTATCAAAACATTGCCAACATTTTATTATTGACACATTTTGAACACCTCTTCTATAGAAATGAAGATAAGTGCAAGTATACGGTATGTCTTCCCTTTTTCTAATATTCGAGTTTCTTACTATCCGAAATTAGAAACACAAACATACATTTCCTGTATTTTCTGTCTTCATGCACCTTTTCCCTTATTATGAGATAACCTCTTATCTTATTCTTTTTATTATCCCGCATCTGTTCACCAAATGTTTGTCGTCATCGTTGTAATTACTAGGTTTTTGAGACAAGTGCCAGTTAAAATCTTCCAGTTAGCTTCTTTTTCGTTTTGCCTGGTGAAAAGATTGACGTTTATGATGACAGGTTCCGCCAAAAATATGATTGTTTACAATGAGAATCCACTGGATCCCTTTGAGTTTTTTCAAGTTTTGAAGTCTATGATTTTCGTATTGCTTTTAAAAACTTGACTTGCCCAATTGTCCAAAATTTAGATAAAATGTGTTTTGAGGTGTTGATTCGTCACTGTTTAGCTTCTTCTCTGGAAGCCTGTAAAAGACTAACAGTTATTTTCTCGTTTGTGTAACTAGTTCGGATGTTTTGATGATTTCAAACTAATACGAATTTTCTGAAATCCGTCTTTCAAAAACATCTATAACAGTTTTTTTAAAATGTACTTCACAGAAAAAACAAAAATGAACATAGGGTCTTTATACTCAAAGTTCTCAAGGTTTCGAATTACAAAAAAAACGAACAGTCGTCATCTTTTTGTCTCGATACTTGTTTTTTATGTAAAAATGTGTGAAACATTTCTTTTGATCTCATTTCACTTTTATTATGCCCGCAGAAGAAAAAAAGAAATACACTATTTCTGTGGAAGAATTCGTTAGAGGAAGTACTCTTATTCTATTATTCTGAAACAATAAAATCGAAGCTGTGGTAGAGAAACGCCGGTGGCCATGGCCGAAGGTCCCACAACGACTAATGCCGTAACCTGAAGATATTGATATTATACGGGTTTTTCTTCCCATTTTCCCCTCCTTCTCATCGATTATTTTTCCCCAAAAAAAACCGGAAAGTAACAATTTTTGATAGTTTAAAAAATTGACTGGAAACGCACGAAAACCGAGAAAATATACCCGGAAAACAAAAATATTCTTTGGTAACGGTAGTTTTCGNNGCGGGACCTTCGGCCACGGCCNCCGGCGTTTCTCTTTCACAGCTCCAATGTTTTGCACATGCATAATAACCAACAATCATTTGGTTTCGAACACGCGTCACCTGACAAAACTGGGTTAAGATTTCTTTAAACATCGGTAACCAATGGAAAGGGGCGTGGTCTTCAACCTCGCAGTTTTATGGGCTCGTTGTCAAGAATGGATTTATGAGGAGTGACATTTTCTTTTTTCTACTCGACTCTTGAAAGTCTAGACTGGCATAAAATCAAAACTTCATTCTGTATTTTTTCCTTTTTTTTTCAAAAATGGTTAAGTGAGCTGTTGGTGCCACAGTTTCAGAATTCTCTGTGCCGTTCTTTTAATCGTGCGTCTTCTGTTGGTCGAAATTTAATTTTCCGTGTCAAAAGTATCCCTTATCCCTTATTCTTCTCCCCACAACTATCAATTGCTCGTTCTTCTCTTGAATTTGATCAGTTGACCCAGTGGAGAATTGCAAAATTTTCACACAACGATTGGTCCTCTCTTTTTCTTCTTTATTTTCACCATCACTTCCAACAATATTCTTGAGTCTTGTTTCTGAAACGGGCCAGTTGTCCTTGCCTCCTCCATCAATCCGCCCCATCTTTTCTCTGTGCGTCCTTTTAGCTTTTCACTCTCTCTAAAAAAGTGTCCGCATTTATTTCAGTCCTCTCTCTTATCCTTTTCCCCCGACATACTTTCTCTTTCATCTCTTTTTTTCGTGCTCAGCGGCTCCCTCAGGGGATGAGTTGACAACAGAAAAAACGGATAGAGGGAGAGAATAGGTTAGGTACTTTTGGGGCGACGATGACACCGGTCAGTCCGATTTCACTACTGGAAGTGACGTGGATTCAGACAAAGTACCGTAACCCAGTGTTTTTGTTCTTTAGACAATAAAGATATTAGGTCGCATTATAATTGTTTTGATAGCTTTCTAAACCTTTCTGTTTTGTTCCTTTAACCATATCCTGGATCAAATAAATCTTAATTTTTCTTAACCTACCGTATCTACTGAAAAAGATGTATAAAATTTCTTTTGACCTGAAATCTTCATTCCTGTGAGGAGAACTTTTCACTTCAAAGTTGTACGTATGTGCTTTTAATTGCAATCTAATTCACCAAAATCCACAGGACAGGGTTGCTGATAAGTATAAGAACGGCGTCTGAAGATTTAATGTAAGAATTAGCTATAACTTGCATCTTTAAGCAAAGGAAGAACATTTTTATCGAACCAATATTAAAGGCAAACATAAATAAAATTCACAAAATCAAAAAAATGATTTTTTTAAAAATCTTCCCCATTTTCTTAAAGACGCAAGTTATAGCCAACTCTTAAATCTTCAGCTGCCGTTTGTACGCTTTTCGGCAACCCCGTCTTAAGGAAGATTTAGTTTAAACTGAAACTCAGAAAGGAGTCTAAAATTGTTCAAATTTCAGTGGAAATTCATTGGAGACCAATTACAAAGTGTCTAATAAAGTTTTTGCAAGCTTTTCTCAAGTTCCATGCCCTTAATATTATTTTTCCGACTAACATTAGATTTTGATGCACTAGTTGTCCTTACCAACTTTTCATCCTATTTTTCTCGTTCTCCTTCTTTTTCTCCCAGGAGAACTCCCCTCGTTTTCTGTGTTTACATGCTTCGTCTTTCGTCTTTCAAAAATTTTCCACTTCACTTCATATTTCAATCGTCCTAGGCGTCGGCAGCTCAGCTAGTTGCCATTTTTAGATTTTCCTGACCCCTTTTTCATAAATTGTCTCTTTCTCTCCTCTTGGAGATATCAATTTATTTTCAGATGGAGACAAATTCCACATTTCTGGAAGAGGATGAATCCACATTCATGTCCATCTCAGGCATTTTAGATGCGATTGAAGGATCTGCATCTTTTGAATGGATCAGGACCAACTCAAGACATCTTGTGCCGATATTCTGCTTTGTTGGAATCATGGGAAACTCTATGGCACTGATACTTATAAGGTAAAAGTGCCCCCTGACTTTCAACTTTGAGCCCATTTATCTCGGTTCCTGATAAAGACATAAAAAATTTGTCAACTAATAAATTGTTGCTGCTATCATGATAAACAATTTATCAGTTGACACATTTTTGATATCTTTATCAGGAACCGAGATAATTGAGCTCAAAGTTGAAAGTCAGGGGGCACTTCTATTACAGGTTTTACGGTATATATAAGAAGAGTTCTGCAATTTCTTGAACTTTCAGAACCAACTTCTGGCTAAAACGACTTACATCCAACATCTACCTATGTACATTATCAATCACCTCCTGCTCTTTCCTTCTCACCGTCGTTATCTCCTGGTCTGATACCTATCTCCGTTTACCATTATATTCTGAATCTGAGCTTGGTTGTAAATTTGTCTCATTCCTCGCACATTTCAGTGATTTCATCTGTGTATGGATGATTTCTCTCATTTCATGTGATCGAATGATTGTTCTCTATCGACCAAGTGGGTTTTCTATCAAGGATTTTAATGGGGAACTTTTTTTCAGGAATTCGAAAATGGGTATGTACGAGGAAGTTTGCCATAACTGTGACTTCTGGTTTTGTTGTCACTTCGGTTATTCTGTACAGTTGGTTATTTGCTCTTGCTGGATTGCAAAAATATAAAATGATGGATGGAAGTGAAAGATCATTTTGTGGGCTCAGTGAAGATGTTAATTGGTTCGGGTAAGTAACTTTTGTAAAGGATTCAACGAACTACCGTAAAACCTGTAGGGTCCCGCCCTGTCAAATTTGAGCAAACATTCCTTGGCTCCTATGCAAGATATCAAAAATGTGTCAATTGATCAATTCGCAATATTATCATAAACAAGGGCTCTTTCATTACAGGCTTTGGGGTATTACTATAATCCAACAGAGTATCTTTTTTCCAGATACAAAGTCAACGAAAACTACATGTATTTCATTTTCACAGTGTTTGACACTGTCATTTGTACCCTTATTCCATCCATTCTGATCATCATTGTCAACTCATTCTCCACATACCGCTATCATCAATGCATGAAAATCTACACTGCTGGTGTTCTTCGTGTCCGGTTTGTCCGTGCTCCGACCACTGAGCAACAGGCACAGCAACTCGATGATGATACCATCCAATTTGTGAGTCTCAAAGACTTTTTCTTTGTTTTCCAGAAACTATACCAAATAGTGGTCGTTGACTCTTTTCGCTGATTTATTAGTTGTTTTTCTCGTCTTAAAAACGGAAATTCCCATTTTCGGATTCTCGTTTAAAAAGGAGAAAAAACAAAAAAAGGGGTCAGTAAAAAAATTTAATCAGTTATTTGGCTTCTATCTACGGTAAAACTTGTAATAGAAGGGCATCAAAACTTTGTCAATTGATAAATGCTTGTGATATCATGATAATAGGTCATCAGTTGACAACTTTTTTTTATATCTTTTACAGGAACCAAGATAAATTGTCTCTAAGTATAAGTTAAAAGTTAGGGGAACCCTTCTATTATAGTTTTACGGCCTATTATTCATAAACTTTTTCTGTAATCCAGGAAGACACCAAGAAGTATCTACTGAGTACTGACAACACAAACTCTAACAATTCAACTACAAATTGTGGCAAACTTCGAAGTTCGGATCTTCAGTTGAGCAGATCCCTCATAATTGTAACAAGGTAAATTATCAAATAATTTCATATATTAGGGTGTTCAAAAAGTCTTTGACAGTTTTGCTCAAGTGGTGTTTTCTTCAATTAAAATAAGAATCAATGAGAAATGTATTCGCCATTAGAGTTCTTAACTTCTTGCCAGCGCAACGAAAGTTGAGTGATTCCAATTGCGTAGAGCTCTGGCGATTTGCGGGCGAAAAAGTGATCCAAAAAATTTCTTGATATCGTTCCAATCATGGAATTTCTTTCTAGCAAAACAGTTTTGGAAAAATCGGAGAAGGTGGTAATTACTTAGTTCGAGACGGGTAGTGTACGGTGGGCATGACAGAGTTTCGATTCCTACAGGCTCGAGCTTACCGCGGGTATTTAAAGATTTGTGAGGTTTTTCGTTGTAGTGACAAAGTTTCAAAACCTAGCCCTTCGGTAGGTGAGAGCGATGAGCATGAATCCCACGTTCCATTTGGAAGCCGTAGAGTCAGAGTTAATGATATCGGACACCGAGAGCAGCTTGCGAGATATTACTCCAGCACTGTCTAACCAAATTGAAAAAATCAGATTTTTTCTTGAAGCTTCCCTTTTGGGTCAGATTCCGCCGTTTCTTCTGCAGGGCCCATTGGCGCTTTCTGGCATGGTTGACATACAGTGTTCGTTTGTCATCGACAATAGATATTTTGTTGATCCAGTGTCTCGTTGGTTCCTTGGTGAAGAGTGAAAGTGACAGGTCACATCGTACCTTTTTCTGAAATCCCGTTAAAATGTATGGAACGATTCGACCGACTCTCTGAGCTCTTCCCGTTTGGTGAACATTATTGGATACCGATGTATTAGGATGGTGAACTGTCAAAGATACTGCACGTGAAATAGTTCAGGGCTCTTACTTCAGTAACATCGAAATATCGTCATCCATACTAAGACTCGGTTATTTCGATATTGGTTGATGTTCTAGATTATAGTACCCTTCTTCGAACCTTTTGAACCAAAACCTAGTGGTGGCTCGAAGAATGGTGTCTGCGACTAACACTTCGCATCTTATTCGCCAGGGTTCGTTGCTCTAGAGACCCTGGAGAAATACAGTTAAACACACCGTTGAGTATGTGCCGTGATCGAGCTGGTTCTCGGCCATTACACTGTTCGGGGGAAATTTCTTATAGTGCCTGGAACATGCAATGTGTGACGTCAATAAATATGAAAACAGAATTGGAAAAAATCCAAAATAGGATAAGCGACATAGAGCGGAGTCAAAGTGTCAAAGACTTATTAAACAACCTAATAGAATCTCCATTTTTTAGCACATTCGTTGCGTTCAATGTTCCCAGTTACGCGATGCGCATCGTTCAGGCGACGTTCAAACCACAATCGACTACTTTTCAATTCATCTACTATGTCAGCTATTTGAGTTATTATCTTCATCATGCTGCTCTTTTTTACATGTATATCTTCTGGAGGTAAAATTAAAAATATTTCTCAATCAATTTTCTTTATATTCAGCCCACAAATGAAAAAACAACTCAAGCCAACGGCAGTACGGCTCCTAGAATGTTACTGCTTGAAAACCGTTCCAGATTTCGGTCATCGATCTACTTCTACACAGGGTAATTTCATATAGTTTCCGTTTCATTAATGTGATTTTTTTCAGATTTCATATAAATCTGATTGGATACAATTGTTCTCCTTCAGTTGATTCTAAGCTTGCCTGTCCAGCCGGTATAAACTACGATTTGCGCTTTAAGCTGTTGAGTATTCCTATAAATATGTTTTGTTTTCTGTGTTACAAACACATTCTAGATTTCGAACCGGAAAAAATAAACATTTTCCAAACACAGTATGAAACAATTTACGGAAGATGATGCCGACTTGGAATTTGGAATTTAATGGGGATACTATCTTACTCTTGTTAGACAACTTTAATTGAAGAAAACAAAACATGGATTTCCAAGCTTCTAACAAATTATATTCACAGAGAAATTAAAATTGGATACACATAGATAGTCAGATTTAAATATTGTCAAAAAAAAACGATTTCCGGGCTCCTTCAAGAACCTTGGGTTGCTCTTTGAGGATCGACAAACACAATTGTACAGTACACTAGAGCAGGTCGTATATACAGTGCGTTGCAGGTTCTTACGTCCACCCATGTTTAGAGTCATAACTGGAGAGCTGTTAGAGGTATCAGCCTGATTTTTTGAAAATCGGATTCGGGACAAAAAATTGAATACAGTGGACGATTTTTGTAACGAAACCTTGAAAACTCTCCGAGTTATCTGGAAAACTCTGAACATATACCTTTTGCAACCGTTGCAAGTTTATACACCCACTCCAAAGATCAGTAGATCACGACCTCCAACGAAGACGGAGGTGTCCAATTTTAATTCTGTACAACTAAAATCACAATTAAATGTTGTTTTCCTTACATGTTTCTCTTTCTTTGAGTTTGTATCATGTCATGGGATCTTTTGCCGACTGCTGGAAATGCTTCAGCCAGGGCACTCAGAGCAGCTGGATGGACCAAACAACTAATACAAAGCAACTGAATCATTCACACTTTCATACTGACTGTTTTCTCATCCAAAAATTAACGAAAAAAGATCAGTTCAAGTCCTGCACCCAGGATCCCAACTATCTACCATTACTGACATCTTAAACTCTTTGAAGTCGTGTAACGGTATCAACCAGAAGCTGAAACTTGAAGTCATTAAATTTAGGGGTTAGAAATGTCTCAAAAGTGATCAAGACAGTGGTATACCACTAACATTTTATTAGTTGATCCATTTCGAGTATCTTTTATAGGAACCGAGATAATTGCCCAATAAATAAAACAACAGATAATGCGCCTTCGGCGTGATTCAACCTAGTTTTTACTCGTTCGTCCTTAGTTTTTCAGTTTTTTTAATGGGTTACGTAGATCTACTTTTGATTTTCGAGGTTTTTGAAATTTTTCACATTTTACGCAATAAATCTTTAAATTGATCAATATTAGGTCACGCCCCCTACCTCTGTCCACGGTGAAAAAATTCCACGTATTGAAGAAAAAACAATCCTTTGGGAAATCCCATTTTTTAAATTAGTTTGATAATTTTCACTAGCACTATTTGACTTCCCTGAAGCTCCCTGCGTACGCTGTTTATTGTTTCATTTGCTTTTTTCGGGAGTACGATGAATTCGAACTTTCGCGAAATCGAACTGTCCCGAAATCGAACTCGTTCGAATTAGAACTGTCCCTTTTTCGAACACGCCCAGAACAGAACAAGAACGGAATCGAACTGCTATAAATTCGAACTGTGCGGTGTCGAACTGTCCCGGATTGGAACTCTGTTAGCAACAGGGCGCGCTTGCTTTTTTAAAATTATTTTTGTCAACAAATTTTGCATGTTTTCTCCAGAAAATAACTTTTTTCACTTATTTTGGATATTTTGCGAATTTCTCTTCCCGTTTCGAGAATATAAACTTTACAGAAAATGGCTTCTCGTAAAAACAAGCCGATCGTTCAAGTTCAAGGATATGCAATGCGTTTCAAAAAAATGAACAAAAATGGAACAGAGCTTTTTTACTGTGTCGAGCGGTAAAAAATTGCAGCATTACTATAAAACAATATTTTTTCCAGAGAAAGACGAGCTCGATGTGATGCAGCTTATCATTTCGACAGAATGAACAACACGTTCACTGTTAAAAATCAGCATGCGAGACACGACGAGGATTTTGTCAGAAGTGAAGTTAGTAGTGAAGTTAGCATACAAAGATGGATTGGAAAGAGTTGAAACTAAATCCGAATTTCCAGGTCTGTTTCTACTCTTGAACACCTAAATTGATTTTTTACTACACTTCAGGTGAATCGAAACAGAAAACTCACCAACGCATTGAAGGACGGGAGACTCATCAAGACGCTAATAAATCAGCCAATCCCGCCAATTATGCCTTTGACTGGTCTTAATTTATTAGACACCATCTTCGACGCCCATTCTGTTTAAAAGTCATGAATTCTTTCTTTTTTAAACACATATTTTCTATTTTCAAATTGTTTTTTCCTCACTGTATTCAAATAAAAATGCTTTTTTTTGTCGTAAAAATGATTTTTTTCTGGAGAAAACTTGAAATTTTCAAACGGTAATGCAAGCGCGCTCTGTTGCTAACAGAGTTCCAATTCGGGACAGTTCGACACCGAATCAGTTCGAGTTGGAACAGTTCGATTCCGTTCTTGTTCTGTTCTGGGCGTGTTCGAAAAAGGGACAGTTCTAATTCGAACGAGTTCGATTTCGGGACAGTTCGATTTCGCGAAAGTTTGAATTCATCGTACTCCCCTTTTTTCTTTCGATTGTTCGGATGCGAAAAAAGTTACAAAAGGCCCTCACGGTCGCCATGTTTGGTGGTTCATAGCTAGGTGAATTCATTTTCACTGAACGTTCCCCCTTTTGCAAAAGACTCAATCTAAGAAAAAAAACAAATGAACAAAAACAATAAATAGCGATCGTATAGCTTTTTAGCAGTGAAAAAGAACTATTGAAAATTAGAAAACTGTCTCCTCGGAGACAGGGGTTTTGTGTTGGTGTTTTCCCCCAGTGAAAACCCATTTTCCCTTTCATGTACTGAGCCTCTACGTGGCGAAAGGGATCAACAGACGAAAGTCTGGCTAATCAGTACACTTTTGTAACTTGTCATTTTTCATAATTTTTGTTGATATGTTCAGGAATATCTATGTTTGAAATTTCTCTTGTCAATAAATCCATTTTTTTACATCTTCCATTTCATTTCTCTTTCCCAAGCTCGTTTCCAAGAAGGAGGAATCAAAATTGGACGCTGGAGGTCGTGATCTACTGATTTTTGAAGTGGACGTATAAACTTGCAACGGTTGCGAAAGGCATATTTTCAGACTTTTCAGATAACTCTGGTAGTTTTCAAGGTTTCATTACAAAAATTGTCCACTCGATGTAATGTGTTGTGCCAAATCCGATTTTTAAAAAATTAGGCCGATACCTCTAACAGCTCTCAAGTTATAACCCTAAACATAGGTGGGCGTAAGAACCTGCAACGCACTGTAAGAGATATCTTTTTTCGTCTGTTACTCGTCGATTTTTCTATTATTTTCGCTGAAAAATCTGAAAAAAGTTTTTAGGTTACAGTAGTTGTTGTTGTGGGACATTCGGCCACGGCCACTGGAGTTTCTCTTCCACTGCTCCAATTTCTTGTACCAGAATAATATATTTTATAACTTACACACATCTTTCAGCATCCGACATATGATGAGATTCGGAACATGATAATCTACCATCTGCTAGCCTGAACATAAATTTTCTACATAGTGAATACGTTTTGAATTTTCTCGACTTTGGTGGCAAAAAAAGAAACTACAGTAATCCATATCTAGAGAGCACATCAACTGGGAGGATAAAAAATGCGGAGTCGGGGGCGGAGCCTAATTTGCAACCCTGGCA